TGACAGCTATGCCAGACCAAAAACACTGAACAAATATACTAGACAATACTCCCTCCACAAAGGAGCAAAACAACTTTATGGAATAAATATTTAAAAATATAAATCAAGAAAACTGCATTAAAATAAAGGAAGACACCAATAAAGAAGTTGCTTTGGATCAAAGGCCCATCTTCTCATGAGACACATAAAGTTTCACTGATGATCTAACATTTCACTGTGACAGGAGAGGAAGTGGATATTGTTATCTTAGAAATGGAACAGAGTTGCTTTTAGATTTTCACACTTTCTGATGTTGCTACGAATTTACTAAATAACACATTTAGGAAGCTGAACCAAACCAGCTAGGGCCAACTGTGTTTATTCTTAGTAGTGGACTGCAGATGATCATTTTGTATTAGAGAACCAATACATTTATCCTGATTTTGTTTTGGGGCACAACCTTAACTCTATTTTTCAGTCCATTTTATTCAGTATTTTCCCCCCCTCTCTTTTTGGTGTACTTTAGATTTTGTGGGCTTGGTTTTTATTGGTCTCTTTTCCTTTATAGGTTTCAAAACTGAAAAGTGAACAAAATAAGTGCAATTGAAGGAAACATTATAGGTCTGCTTTGGATCAAAGGCCCAGCTTCTCATGAGACACAGAAAGTTTCACTGATGATCTAACATTTCACTGTGACAGGAGAGGAAGTGGATATTGTTATCTTAGAAATGGAACAGAGTTGCTTTTAGATTTTCACACTTTCTGATGTTGCTACGAATTTACTAAATAACACATTTAGGAAGAGTTTAAGTCAGTTGGTTTATGTTTTAAAAGAACATGAGAATGGGAGATATCTATAATACTGTCAACAATAAAAAATATATTAAAATATTTTTAAAAATTAAAAACTTAAAAAAAAAGCTGAGTAGTCCAGCACATGGTCTCAGATAAGTAAATTGTTCATATTACTGTAGAATAGTTAACTTGTGTTTTATATATTTTTCATTAAAAAAACAGTACTTCATTGGTATAGAAAAACCATTTACAAATAATCTAAAAATCACTTTTTTAAAATGGAAATTATTTTAAAGATTTACTCATTTATTTATTTGTTTAGAGGGAAGATGAGAGAAAGGGAGGGAGGGAGGGAGAAAGGAATAGAGAGGAAGAGGGAGGGAGTTGGGAGGAAGGGAGATAGATATCAATTTGTTCCATTTATTTACACATTCGTTGGTTGATTCTTGTATGTGCTCTGACCAAGAATCGAATCCACAACTTTGGAGTATGGGGACCATGCTCTAACCAACTGAGCTACAGGGCCAGGACCATTCAAAATAAAAATTATTATAATACTAAGACTTTAACTGATATATAAAATGTATAAGCCAGAAGGTAAAAACTCTACATACTTTTAAACTTCCCTGTCCTAGGATAACTATATACACCAATAAAGGACAAAGATGCTAATTGGTCATACCTTTGCTACGCCCCAAGATACGCCCACCAGCCAATCAGAGTGAGTATATTAACCCAACCAAGATGGCGGCCGGCAGCCACGGAGCTGGAGCAAGCAGGAGGCTGGGTTGAGTGGGTGATGGAGGAAGCCCACCTTCCCGCCTGCCCTGAGCT